CTCAAAAATGCAAATATATTTAAGTTTTTGTAGATATAAAGGTTTAGTTACATATCATTCAAATAGGAAAAACATCTCCAATAGATAAAGCAAAAAATTTAGGCAACAAAGTATTTTCAAACCCAAATTCCTGTTTCCAACTTCAAATAGTTTTTTCTATAAACACAAAATGAGTGTTTATTCACCAGTAGGAGGTTGGACTAGATAAACTCTATTATTTCTTACCAAGTCTAATACTCCATGAAAATTATGCTCTCTCTGCTTCAATTTTTATTTTACATATACTTGGATGAACCCTTACCCTTACCTCCAGTTTAACTTAAAATCATTCTCTGCGTACTTTTCATTTTGATTTAAAAAACAAAAACAAAAAAAACTGTCCTCAAGGTAAACAAAAAACAAAAAAGACACCCTATCAGAATTCAAGTAGATTCGTGGCTGCTCTTCTTTTCTGAAATTCCCCTTATTCAGGTTTAATAAGAAAAGTGAAAGATTAACCTCCCCACTGGTAATGATCCAGCCAGGAATCATCCCATGAAATAAACACGAGCCTAGTATAGGCAATCAGTCGTGAAGAGTAGGACAGAGCAGTAAGTCACATTTTTCTACTCTTTGACCAAAAGGAAAAGAAAATAAAGAACTCTGGAGTGGTCTAAGAGCAATACAGCAAAAAAATATCAAGGACACAGAAACTTAATTATTTTAAACTTTTGCTAATTGGAAACTTTAGGCATTCTTAAATGCTAGTCAGACCAACAGACTTTTTTTCCAACCCAGGACTGTCATAATACATACAGACAGCAAGAATTCTTATTTCTATAATAAAGTAACCAGATTCACCTAACTTGTGAAAATAAAGTATTATCAAAAATTTACATGGTATGTTTTTTCCTAAGAGCTCTACATCATTTACACAGATCACAACTCCACCAGTTAAGTGAAGCTGCTCAAAGTAACACAAGGAAGTGAGCAAGATCTGGGATGAGTCTCTCTACAGACACAGCATGTTCTCCATTCAAGTCGCAGAGCTCTCAAAGTACACTATGTATGTATAAGCTCTGCATCTGGAAATTAGATGTGACTTCTAGAACTACACACACCCCAAAACAACTCTGTTGGTAAACTAATGCTACTTAATGTTTCACAAGTAGACAACTAAGAAATGCAATCAAAAACTTCTGTCTAGGTGGTTGAAAGCTTCTGAAAGCACTGCTCATGATTCTTCTTCCACTTACTTCAGAGAATCACAGCTTCTACATTAAGGATTAAGTTTTCTGCCAAGATATCATTATCCTTTCAGGAGAAGGAAGTGCAAATTGAAAGAGGGGGAAAGTCCTGGGAGGTGGGAACAGCGGCTCTAATTCCTGGCTGCATAGCTCACTAACCTGGGGTACCTGGGAGTCCAGTGATGCTATCTTGGATACATGACTAGGAAGACCACATTGGAATTAACTTTAGAAGTGCTTTAGAAAACCAATATAGATAGCATAACAATCCCAACAAACTAGACAAGTAGTTACTAAAAATCCTAAGGTCTAGTTTTATATATTGTGTAAGCCCATAATACCTACTCCTGGCAGCAGCCTTATAAACAAAAGCTGCTATGTCTACTTTAAAGTATTTCACACCAAAATGGACTAATTGGTATCACATTGGGCTGAACCTACTGGTATCAACTGGATCAATTTTTATTTCTTAATGATCTTCCAATTTCATCCTCACAGAATCATACTGTAAGATCATCACTGGACCTGATCTCCCCCTCTCCAACAACCAATTCTTACTGAATAGCAATTATAATTCCAATGTTACAGGCCTTTTCCACCTCCACACTCTCCCTTATTGTGTTCACAGGAAATATGCAGGATCCCTGCCCAGATGTCTGTAAATACACCCATTTCTCTCCATATAAGAAGCAAATATATGATATGAACCAACTCTAATTTTAAAACCAACAAGTCATTCTGGGACCTTTAATACTCAAATTATCTTAATTTGGTATCATAGAACATCTCACAACTGACGAATATATCACTCTGTCCCAACAAACTACTTAGTACTGCCATTCTTGAAGAGTGCAAGATACAATTATGAGATTTCTTTAATCTATAATATTTTCAAGGAAAGTGGATTACCTATAAAAAGAAAGGCTCAGAATTATCAGCACAGTTAATACAACCTGAAGTAAGCATCCTGTCAAAAAACAGTCAGTAAAATCCACTATGATTTGAATATACATATGTGAAACTTGCCCTGATATTTTAGTAGGAAAAACTCTATATTCTTAACCACTTCACATACACTTAGCTTTATGGAACTCATCTTTTCAAAGATATATGTATAAGGGCAAAGAAAAAAACCTGTTTTTTAATAGAGAGTGGGGAAATTACCCAGACTGAATTAATATAGTTAAAATAATGATGAAAAAGGAACTTCACATTCTATCCAAACCACCCAAGTATGACTATGTGCTGAACAGTTCAAATCAAGCTATTGTCTTAACAGGGAAAACATTGCTTTCCCAGGTAACCCAAGTCATTTTCAGACAACTCTACCAGACCTTTTTAAGATTGTGTTGAGTTTCTGCCTCCTTAAACCTGCCCTTTAGATTCACACAGATCAAGTTTAATTCCTCTTTTATGATTGTTAAGTAAATATTTGCAGAGTAACCCTAAAAACCCTCCTCCCCACCCTGTCCTGCCCACAGTCTTGTCTGCTGTGTAAACAGCCCCGTTTCCTACATGCATCCCCCATCACAGGGGGTCAAATGCCCCAAACATCCTAATCCAACATATGGATCCCTTCCAGGTGTGGCCCCAGTACTGCACGCAATACTTAAGCTGTCCTGTGTCAACATAAAAAGACAGCGGGTGTCCCTAGCACTTGCCTCATGAGGACACTTCAGTTCTAGTAAATGCTGCGCTCGGCACCGTCCTGCTGCTGGTTTAACATTGAGCCCGCAGTTAGCTGAGAAGGCTGTGCTTTTCCCCAGCAGGATGCTATGACACCATTACTACATATCTTCAATTCTAGAGTTTATGAGAGACTTCCTTGGCATTTTCTGCTGTTAAACCTCCATTTGATCAGATCTGATCTCTTGTTCCATCTTAATTCTTATCTCAAGTCCCAGCTGTTCCACTCTACAGCTATCCCTCTAACTCCTGAACGATTTGAAAATCTGATCACACACCAACACTGTCATCTAAAGAAAAGGAATATTTATATAGCACCTTGCACAAGGCCTATCACAGGAGTACGAATTCAATAACTGTTGAACAAATAAATGAGTCCATATACTCTCATTTAATCCTAAAAATTCTGTAGGGCATTCTTAGCTCCATTTATTATAAGACTACTGAATATCTGAGAACTTAGATTACTGGTTATCTTCTGACTTGAAACCCTATACTCTCTAAACTACCCCTCATTATCTCTCCATATTCACTGGAAAAAGTACTGAATCAGACGAGGAATGGGAGAAGTCCTAAAAAATATCCCAAGATAGCATTTATCCAATAGTCTACCATACAAGTAAAGCCAGGCAACTAACAATAAGTTATCTACCCAGTCTTCCAAATTTCTTTGTGCTACACTCATTTAACAACTTTTCATTATTATAAATACAACTGATCATTCCTGATGCCATATTAATAAATGAGAAATTTCAATTACTGATATGCTAAAATGAATTTGATATGAAAACAGTGATGCAAAGTTGACTGTTACAACTACTAGTGTTAAAAAGAATCTGCAAATCGGGGCGCCTGGGTGGCTCAGTTGGTTAAGCGACTGCTTCGGCTCAGGTCATGATCCTGGAGTCCCTGAATCGAGTCCCGCATCGGGCTCCCTGCTCGGCAGGGAGTCTGCTTCTCCCTCTGACCCTCCCCCCTCTCATGTGCTTTCTCTCTCTCATTCTCTCTCAAATAAATAAAATCTTAAAAAAAAAAAAAAGAATCTGCAAATCAATCTGTGAGTGATATTTACATACCTAACATATTTCTGAGAAATGTTTACTCTTGTCAGGTGTAATCATGCTCTAGAGAACTTTTCTGGTACTTCTGGGAATTTGGAACTTGCATGGTGATTTTAATAACTTCAGTATCACTGTGAATCAGCATTTCTTTTTCCTCTCATACATTAATACCTACTGGCAGTTTGGAAGGTAGTACCTTTAATCAGTCAGAAAGCCCATCTTAACATTTAGATTCTTTAATATAAACTGATTAATTCACCACAAACACTGAAATCTTGTTCTCTTACTACGTAACTTTTAAGTCAATAGCTACCTTAACTATAATTTGACTGCTCTCATCTCGAAACAAGGAAAAAAAAAAACAAAAAACAAAGATAATACATCAAAAAAAACAGATGAATAAAGAACTAAAGTAACTGGGATGCCTAGGTGGCTAGTCAGTTAAGCCTCCGCCTTCGGCTCAGGTCATGATCCCAGGGTCTTGGAATTGAGTCCCACATTGGGCTCCTTGCTCAGCAGGGAGGCTGCTTCTCCCTCTGCCTGCCGTTCCCCCTGCTTGTGCTCACTCTCTCTTTCTCTCGCTCTCTGACAAATAAATAAAATCTTAAAAAGAAAAAAAACTAAAGTAAGAACATTCAATGCTCTCTGATATGAAAACAAACATTAGCATTTTCCCTATTTCTTCTCCCCCTGTGAGATGTATCTACATTGGGAACAGGGAGTTAACAGACTGAAATTTCAGTTCACAAGATAGCCTTAATAAAGAATATATGCCTTGCAAAGAACACACAAACCTAAAAGTTAAACAAAGGAAATCCTAATGGTTATGTTCATCACCTCTGGTTTTATACAAAAGAGCCCTCAAATAACCATGGAATTATAAATGCAAGCAATGTTACGACCCCATCTACTGGAGAAGGTGCAGGTAACTGAGTCAACTTCTAATAAATGCATCCTTGAGCCTTGTTACGAACTATTAACATGGAAATCCAGATAAAAATACTTCAAAACAGTAAGCAAGCCTTACCTACATCTTTTCGTCCTGGTTTTTCAAAACGTCTGTCACCTCTAGAAAAGATAAAATAAGTTTTCAAACAAGACTTGAGAGTAATAGATTTCCCATCTGTGACACCCACTGCCCTTTGTCTAATAGCATTGCTTTCTTTTTCAAATTGTAAAACAAATGCATGGTTACTGCCTAACATTTGGAAAATACAGAAAAGCACAAAGATGAAAACAGAAATTTCCACTATCTCACTTACCAAAAGCTAGCTTCTATTGACCCAGAATTGTTCTTTTTGTTTTATAAATTATAGATTTTTTAATTAGATACATGATTTATTTTAGATACACCCTACACGTAGTTTTATACACTGCTTTTAAAATGCATTTTCCCACATCATTAAATATTTTCAAAATCATCCTAACTCTAGTGGTTATATAATATTCTATTGTGTGGATATACCATTCTATAAGAAACCACACTGATATTAAGCTGTTTGGCTTGTTTCTAAGTACATTATAATCATCATCACAGTGGCCATCTTCGTACAACACAACTTTGTGCAACTGCCCTCCCTCATCAATAGACGTCAGATAAAGTCACAAAGAACAGAGAAGATGCTCTAATAGCAACAAACAATAAAATGTCAATTGTCAATGCCTCCCACTGAATGCTAATCAAATAGCAAATCTGATTAACTATGAAATATCCATGCTGGCACTAACATTTGAACCTATTTATCTAGAATGCTTCTTCCTTTAAATAAGGATCATTTAAAAATTTCTTAAAGCTTGATACTCAACCAGCAGCACTTTTTTAAATGAAATTGTATAACTATGCGCGGAAGTATCTCCTCTATAGAAAGCAGAAAAACATGTTTTTTACACCAAGAAACCTTTAAAACAAGATCTGGATCTTTTAGTTACCTTTCCTCCCAGCTCTGTGACCTATGCATTTCCCTGCCACCTCCTCGACCAAACACACCCTCTACTTCATCAAAGCTTCTTTGGTAGAAACCACATTCACCTCTGCCTCTGCCTGAAAATAAGAAAACAGAAAAAATGATACTCAGATGTCAAATGTGGCACAAATTCAACACCAAAGATTAATCTTTGAAGTTCTGTTGCTACACAAAGAGAAGGTCTACATTTAAACATTTAGCAAGGCCTGATGGATCTTTACCTGAGAAACCAATAATGGCACTGAAGAGGCTAGACCAAAGGAGGTTGAAAGAAACACGTTAGAAACAGATGTAAGAGTCCCAGTCCCAATCCTGAACAAAAAATAGTACAACATTCAGTTCTTTAATATGAAGGTTCAACAGTAAAATTCTAAGAAGATCAATAAACTATTACTACAAATTGGACCTTTTATTGGATTATTTTCAACAAAAATGAGAGATTTGGAGAGCTTGGGAAGAGAACACATAAAGTATAAAAGCCAAGTATAAATGTTAAAATAATTTATCTAACTCCAAAGAAAATATAATTTAATAGGGTCTATTAACTTTGTGAACTAGCTCCTTAAAGGATATTCCACAGCAACAAAAGCACTCTTTCCACTTTGCCCAAGTCTTCAAGTAAGAAAAGTATCAGGACTGAATATGAACCAGAGGGCTGGTGAGAATGTGTCAAATGCAGGGATTGAGAGGCTCTAGGTGTTCAAGTATAAACTGGCCTTTACTGAAGACAATGTGGTTAGATCTATCAAAATTTGACTCAACGATTCTAACTACAATTTATCCTAACAGAAATACATGAATATGCAAATACATTTATATGGAGTTCATGGCAATCTAAAACACCAGAAACGACCTAATCAATCAATCAATCAATTAATTCTGATAAAACAATTTGGGAGAACACTATGAAGCCACAGAAGACAAAACACTGACATTAAAAGAAATCTACATTATCCTATTGAATGACAAAAGCATGCTAAATAATAATACTTATAAAAATAACTCCACCTGTATAAATGATAGAACTGCACAGTTAAGAGTCTGGAAATCCAACTGCTGGTCTGGGGGCAGAAAGCAATATGAACTTTTAGCTTTATACTTTCTGTGCAATGTGAGGTCTTCTCGACTAACATGCACCATTTGTATTCAACACACAGGTCAGAAAACCGGGAAAGGGTGGGGAGTCCAGGGCTGCACTTCGATAAAATCTTAGCCATCATCCGTAGCTCAACTTCTTTAACAGTGTAAAACCACCCAAAGAAAAATGAAGATGAATCTCAAACAAAAGCATGAATGCATTCTAAAGCTAAAAACAATTGAGTTAAATAATTGTGGCAAATATCCAGTAGGATTTTTACTTCTTGCTTAAAATTTATCAACCCCGGGCACCTGGGTGGCTCAGTTGGTTAAGCGACTGCCTTCGGCTCAGGTCATGATCCTGGAGTCCCAGGATCGAGTCCCGCATCGGGCTCCCTGCTCAGCAGTGAGTCTGCTTCTCCCTCTGACCCTCCCCTCTCTCATGCTGTATCTCATTCTCTCTCTCAAATAAATAAATAAAATCTTTAAAAAAAAAAAAAATTTATCAACCTGACTCAGAATATAGTTGTACTTTATACAGCCTTATATGAAATGCACACAATTATATGTGGGTAATCTTAGGAACAATGGGCACCCTTTTAACTAATCCAGATAAATCCATTTCTTCATCTATAAAATGGAAGTGAAGACTAGGCTTGACTATAATAATCTTAAAGTTACCTTCCAGTTTTGTCAATCTAACTTTACATCAACTTAAAGTCGAATCCCAGTTTCAGTACCTCTCTCTCCTTAGGAAATGTATACATTTTATCTAAAATCCTAAAACAGTATAACACAAACATAACAGTGTGGTGATCTCCCAAAATGATGATTTTTAGGGTGAAAGTCCCCTCTTCTAAAGAGAACAATTTTCTCAGGTAAACCATTAAGTACATGACATCTTGAAAACGAGTTTTATTTTTGAAATCTGAATATGAAAAGTAGCCTTCAGGTTGCCAGAAAAACAAGCAAACCACAGACAAAATATTTTCTGCCAGTTTTATCTAGCAGCGTACTGGTCCTCCTTATCAGACTAAAGATTTATGAATGGGCACATAAAAAGAATCAGATTCCAGAGCTCTACAGTTTGTAAAACATAAGGAACAATCTTCAAAGTACAAGGACCATAATCATCTATAAATATAGTTCTCATATAAGAAAAAGCAAGTACACATAACATGATGAATCTTTCAGACAGCTAAGTATTTAAAGAACTGCCCTACTGCCTGATATTTCACCAGATTACTTTGGGAGAATAAAATATACTTCCTTTAAAAAATACACACACACACACACACACCCCACTTCATTTTAATGATGATGAAGACAAGTGCCTAACAACTGTGTAGATCTGCTGTATTATTAAACATCTTAACCAGATAAAATAGAAAGATGACAACTTTGTTGGGGCGTTGTCAACAAGGGAACCGCTGTTTCCCCACCCATTTGTTTCAATTTTACTAGTTCATGATATTTAGAAGTCTACAAGTCAGTCAATTTTCACATCAAAGTTTCCTCAAGTTAAAATAAAGAGCCAAAATAATCATCTAATGTTAGCCCTGCCCATGCAAAACAAAGCAATAATCATTACTTAACCAACAAGTTAAAATTAAGTGCTAAGTGAAAAAAACAAAACCAGATTAATGGTCTTATGAAATCATTAGAAAAGAAATCAGAGTTCGCACAATGGTGTTAGAACTGTTTTTCCCAAAGTCAGTTCATGCATTTGGCTAGTTTCATGCCATTTGTTCACATCAATTTTAATTAAGTCACCACTTTTCTCACAGTATCTATCTTTTGCACATGCCCTGTTTAAATTCTGAATGTAGGATAATATGTGATAGGCCTCTACTTCAAAGAAATCACAAAGCAGGGAGAAATTTATCAATCTTTGTTTCTCGATACAGAATTTTTTTAAAGACTGTTTGGAGAGGGGCGCCTGGGTGGCTCAGTTGGTTGAGCGACTGCCTTCGGCTCAGGTCATGATCCTGGAGTCCCGGGATAGAGTCCTGCGTCCGGCTTCCTGCTCAGCGGGGAGCCTGCTTCTCCCTCTAACCCTCCCCCATCTCATGTACTCTCTCGCTCTCTCAAATAAATAAATAAATCTTTAAAAAAAAAAAAAAAAACTGGAGAGACTGGTTAGCTTTTGCAGCACACAAAGTTGGTGATGACTTGAGGCACATAAAACGGCTGGCTTGGGGGGCCTGGGTGGCTCAGTCGTTAAGCATCTGCCTTGGGCTCAGGTCATGATCCCAGGGTCCTGGGATCGAGCCCCGCATTGGGCTCCCTGCTCGCTGGGAAGCCTGCTTCTCCCTCTCCCACTCCCCCCTGCTTGGGTTCCCTCTCTCGCTGTGTCTCTCTCTGTCAAATAAATAAAATCTTTAAAAAAATAAAAAATAAAACAGCTGGTTTGTGGGCCACACTTCTTGAGTAATAATCTCCGTAGGACTTAACCTAAAGAGCGTAAGAGGCAAAGCTGCCTGAGTGTAACCTCTCCCTGCTGCCAGCCTACCGTAGAAAGACACAGGAAACACCCAAGTAGGAGGCCAGAGCCATCTCCAAAACACCACTGCACCACCAAGATGCAAAGATCAGATGGAATTCTGGACCAATGGAACCTAATTACATGTGGGAATCCGCACAGCCTGTGGAGCTTCTGAAGGGCATACACGCCTAAATCTTACCACCCAGTATTCTGTTGCAGAGGTAACTGCTGTTCTAGAGACTGACAAATTGAGAAGGAAAAACCATGTATACCTTGGTAATAGTACCTGGCCTACAAGTGGAGAACTTTAGTTAGCCTCTTCATTAATTACCACACCTGCATTCCCACATTCTGAACGGATGACTGAAAGCAACCTCTTCACAGAAATGCATAATCTAATACAGTCTCTGTAAAGACTAGGTGTAAATTACTCTATTCATAAGGCATAACTTTAAGAAAAAATAATTTAGATATTCCACACTCTTGATCATGCCAAGCTAGGTGGTGCAGTATGTGGAACAATGGCACCTAGCTTTGTAGAGACCTAATTCTTCCACTTCTAAAGCACCTCTTCAAAAACTTACAGGATATGTTTAGGCTACTACTATGATTTAAGCACCTTAAGAGATAAATGCTAAATATTTATATTACAAACATCCTTATGGTGCAGAAAATCAATGAACATAAAACAGAGCAGACAGCAAAAAAAAAAACAGTATCAAAAAATAATTATTCTTCTGAGACACAAATCTATAAAACTATAGGTTAAATAAGTGACTGCTTATTATTTTTTGATCTACCTCTAAAATAACCCTAGTACTGATGAGACAGCTTTTACTAAAGCCTGTTGCTGGAACTGGCACACCGCCTTATACAGAAACCCAGTGTCATGGAGGCCTGAGGGGACTTCAGTGCTGCGCCAGCAGCCAAGGCACTTCTGGGAGCTATGGCAAAGTGCAAGGTTCCCTGGGCATGAGGAATATGGATGAGGTTTTGCCAAAGTTAACTAGGCCATCCAGAATCCTCACACTCAAGAATTCCCTCCTCTGCTCCAAATCAGAGGGTATGGAGCAGATACACTGAGAGATGGTTCAGCAAACAAATGTTCAGGACACTTAGTATACAGTTAATGTCAAAGAGCAGTTTTTTAAAAATCAAGTATTAAAATATGTTTAAAGTGACTTCTCTCTCCCTCCATTATTACATTTTCCGCATGAAAGCTCACCTCGCCCTCTTGAAGAACTTCGACCTCTAGGAGCCCCCACCACTGTTCCTCCTCCTCCTCGTCCTGTCAATCGCAGGACAGCGGCACTATTTACAGACATGGAAAAGTTTCTCTGCCAAAAAAAAAAGAAGAAAGAAAAGAAAAAAGGAAAAAAAAGTGGATGAAACAGATAAAACTGTATGGTGCTCTTCCCCATCTCCCGTTTCAGCTATAAAATGCATCTCATTACTACAAGCAATGGGAAACCATAACTACACCACATCCTAAGATGATCCAAAACCTGATTTTACCTGTAAATCTCAAATTAACATTTCTGATCAACATTGACCACCAATGCGTTATATTATACTAGGTTCTGTGAGGAAATATTAAATAATCCTCTAAACACTCTATGTATCCAGAAGCAAATGGGGTAAATATGTGTTGTAATAGAGAAAACTTGGTAAAAGAAATCCAGTTTGAAAGGATTCTTTAACTAGTGAAAGGTGGAAACAAGAGATGGTCACAAAAAGTATGAATCAAGAGTAGCATGATAAGGGCGCCTGGGTGGCTCAGTTGGTTGAGCGACTGCCTTCGGCTCAGGTCATGATCCTGGAGTCCCGGGATCGAGTCCCACATCAGGCTCCCTGCTCAGTGGGCGGGTCTGCTTCTCCCTCTGACCCTCCTCCCTCTCGTGCTCTCTGTCTCTCATTCTCTCTCTCTCTCAAATAAATAAATAAAATCTTTAAAAAAAAAAAAAAAAGAGTAGCATGATAAGGAGGAAAATAATCATTTTTGCCTCAGTCTGATCACTAATGTGAATTAGCAACTCCAAGTAGTATTTAACAGAATGACAAGAATCATAAATAAATAAGGAAGGGCCAAAGAAGAATCAACCACCTTAATGGGGAGGAGAAAGGAATGCTTGAAAAAAATAAAAACCCCAATCTCTCAGTCATAAGCCTGAACCTGCACCCACAGCCAATCTGCATAGAGTCAAATACAGTACGATAGGAGTGGGAAATCTTCAAACATGAAGAGGAAGACACAGGAACATAGGAATCCGGGGAGTGAAAAATGTTTAGTTGACATTTCTGGATAAACGGAAATACAGAGGTCTTAGGAAAAGGTAAAGAAGGAAGCAATTTTTAAAATCTTGAAAATGATCTATAAAATATAAAAATCCAGGGGTGCCTGGGTGGCTCAGTCAGTTAAGCATCTGCCTTCAGCTCAGATCATGATCCCAGGGTCCTGGGATAAAGCCACACGTTGGGCTCCCTGCTCAGCGGGGAGCCTGCTTCTCCCTCTCCTCCCTACTCGATCTCTGTTGCTATCTCTGTCCCTCTCTCCCTCAAATAAATAAATAATCTTTAAAAAAATAAATAAATATAAAAATCCTGGCTATCTGAAGGGGAAATCTTCAATAGCATTTTAAACTCAGAGAATGTTGGAATATATGCTTACTTGAATACTTTCTGTATCCTTAGAACCTAACAGACATTTGTGCAAAAATGAAGAGCTGTGGTATAATGAAGAAAATGCAACTTCTGCATGGCTGTAGCTAAGGGCCCTCCTGGCAGAGGGGCAAGAAGTGAGGCTTAAGAGTTGGATGGAGGGGGGCGCCTGGGTGGCTCCGTCGTTAAGCGTCTGCCTTCGGCTCAGGTCATGATCCCAGGGTCCTGGGATTGAGCCCCGTGTCAGGCTCTCTGCTCAGCGGGAGGCCTGCTTCTCCCTTTCCCACTCCCCCTGCTTGTGCTCCCTCTCTCGCTGTGTCTCTCTCTGTGAAATAAATAAATAAAATATTAAAAAAAAAAAAAAAGAGTTGAATGGAGGGGCAACTGGGTGGCTCAGTTGGTTAAGCGTCCGATTCTTGATTTCAGCTCAGGTCATGATCTCAGGTTCATAAGTAAGAGTATGAAGTCCCAAAATCTAGATTCATATATTCTAACACTGGAAAAACAGAGCTCAGGGCTAAATGCATTATGTATGCCAGGATCCCATGCAGTTGAATACATTACCGAACATGTATAAAACTCAAATGTACCGATCAATAGGGTGCAGGGAAACTTGCATATGCTTTCCTATACCCTCACACAATGCAGTTGAAAGTGCAAACTTCTATCACCTCTGGAAGACAATTTCTCAAAGTATATTTAAATGTCTACACCCTTTGACACAATTCTCTTGTAACAAATGTGAAAAATCACAAAAGCAGAAAGATCTTAAACTGCAGAACTGTTTGTAAAATCAAAATTGGGAACCACCTGAATATAAACCAATGGTAGCTCATTTAAAAATCATGGGGCGCTTGGCTGGTCAGTCCGTAAGAGCATGCTTCTCTTGGTCTTGGGGTCATTGAGTTCAAGCCCCACACTGGGCAGAGACCTGACTTAAAAAAAAAAAAAAGCACATGGACATCCACATGTGGAATTCTACGGAGCTGTTTAAAAAAATGAGGCAACTCTGTTTATTAGGTTGAACCATATGAACTCGCTTATATTCAACCAATTCTGACCCACAAAAACTGCAATTTCGTATGGTCAACCAAATGTATAAAGATATAAAGCACAGCTGTAGTAAGGAGCACAGAAAGGCCAGATTGCCTGAAACTGAATTTTTGTTCCTTTATTCCACTTCTCTGTGCTTATTTTCCTCATCCAGATAAAGTGGATAGGAACAATATTTACATCTACTTCATAGGTCGCTGCCAGCACTTAACACGTGACATGACAAGTGCTTACAACAGTGTCTGACAAATTAAAAGCTAAACAAGTATTTGCTATCATCTCAATAGAGGTTTAGGTAAAAAGAGTGGAGTGTAGAACGTTATGCACAGCATGCTGCCATTTATGTCTATGTGTGTTTATAGGAATAAATATGTAAGTAGTTGCATACTTACTAACTACCCCTGAGAGGAAACAGAAGAAAATGGAAACTGGCTACTCCTGAGGAACAGTAGGGTAGGCAGAATTAGGGTGATTCACACAATTGCTTTTCACTATATGTGCTTTTTGAATTTTTTATATATATACATGTACTATCTATTCAAAAATTACATACAGTAATTTTCTTTGATGTCAAATAAATAAAACAATCTAAATTAGGTAGCAGCTATGTAAAGAGTCATGGCTCTCAAACTGAGAAATATGTTTAAGGGAAATGCCAAACCAAAACAGTGACTAGATGTTTAAGCATCAACTTTGTTTTAAGAAAACTTTTTTCCAGGGCACCTGGCTGGTTCAGTCAGAAGAGCAAACGACTCTTGATCTCAGGGTTGTGAGTTCAAGCCTCACGGTGGGTGTAGAGATTACCTAAATAAACTTTTTTAAAAACAATGTATTTTTTTCCTAGCTCTATTTTATACACACATGCAAGCACACACATATATATACAAAGAGGACAAAATTAGCTTGCATTTCAAAGATAAAATATCCCTTCAGGAAATTTAATATATGCAACAAGAAGCTATTTTAAGTTAGTAGAAACATTCACCGCTCCGATGAGGGTCATGGGGTGAAAACTATGCAAAATTCTAGTCTTCAAATATCTAAACAATCCCTAAAGGGGTTGCCTAGCCATCCAAAGGACAAACATCAAAATGTTCATTAATCTTTTGCCAGCTTTAAGCACTGCTCTACTTTAGCATGTCTTTTTTAACATTTATTTGAGAGAAAGAGCAGGTACATGCGTGCAAGTGGGGGGAGGGGCAGAAGGAGAGGGAGAGAATCTCAGGACTTCCTGCTGAGCACGGAGCCAATCTCACCTCCCGTGAGATCATAACCTGACCCAACATCACAGAGTCTGAGGTTTAACCAACTGAACCACCCAGGTGACCCTATTCCAGCATATTTTATAAACAAAAGATACCAAAAAAGTGTCAGGAAATTCAAAATGATACATTTTAAATGAGTCCAAAAATAGACCCTGATGATCTCCTGTAACTACCATAATCATAGTATCTATCCAGATCTTATTAACACCTTAAAATAAATCTTTCCATTATAAAAGCAGAATGAAGATTTACCCCCTTAGTCATTCCACAACTACTTTTGTTGTGTAGGTATAGTCCAAACCTGACTCTTTTCCAAATTGTTAACCAAAGGTTCCCAGCAGCACTTATTAATGAATAATCTTTGCTTTTTCAAAAAATTTATTTGGCACTTACTAATACTAATTTCTTAGAAGTGTTACAGGATGTTTCTGCATGAATCAATTACTCATTCTGTTGATTAAAATGTCTATCATGTTTTGGTAACTAGAAGCAAGTCCTCCTCCCTACACATTAAAAAGCTTTTCTGGTCCATTTAATCTCTAAGAAACCTAGGAAATAATTAAAAGAAAAATTAAAAGAAATTATTAAAAATATATATAAATATCTTAAAAACCGCAAGATAATCACAAAAGATTAAAACTGGTAAACCAAGGCAATGGTCAGAAACATGACAGGATGTCCACTATCACAACCGTTGTTCAATACAGTACGAGAAGTCCTAGCCTCAGCAATCAGACAACAAAAAGGAACAAAAGGCATCTGAATCAGCAAAGAAGAAGTGAAACTCTCATTATTTGCAGATGATATGACACTTTATGTGGAAAACCCAAACACTCCACCCTAAAACTGCGAGAACCCATACAGGAATTCAGTAAAGTGGCAGGATATAAAATCAATGTGCAGAAATCAGTTGCATTTCTATACAACATGACAGAAGAAAGAGAAATTAAGGAGTCGATCCCATTTACAATTGCACCGAAAACCATAAGATACCTAGGAATAAATCTAACCAAAGAGCCAAAGAATCTGTACTCAGAAAACTATAGAATACTCATGAAATAAACTGAGGAAGACACAAATGGAAAAATGTTCCATGCTCATGGATTGAAAGAACAAATATTGTGAAAATGTCTATTCTACCTAGAACAATCTACACATTTAATGCAATCCCTATCAAAATACCATCAACTTTTTTCAAAGAAATGGAACAAACAATCCTAAAATTATGTATGGAACCAAAAAAGACCCCGAATACACAGAGGAATGTGAAAAAGAAAAGCAAAGCTGGTGGCATCACAATTTCGGACTTCAATCTCTACTACAAAGCTGTAAGCATCGAGACAGTACGGGACTGGCACAAAAACAGACACACAGATCAATGGAACAGAAGAGAGAACCCAGAAAGGACCCTCAAATCTATGGTCAACTAATCTTCGACAAAGCAGGAAAAGCATATCCAATAGAAAAAAGATGGTCTCTTCAACAAATGGTGTTGAGACAACTGGACAGCCACATGCAGAAGAATGAAACTGGACCACTTCCCTACACCATACACAAAAATAGACTCAAAATGGATAAAAGACCTAAATGTGAGACAGGAATCCATCAAAATCCTAGAGAACACAGGCAGCAACCTCTTCGACCTCAACCACAGCAACTTCTTGCTAGACAGGTCTCCAAAGGCAAGGGAAACAAAGGCAAAAATGAACTACTGGGACTTCGTCAAGACAAAAAGCTTTTGCAGAGCAAAGGAAACAGTCGACAAAACCAAAAGACAACCAACAGGATGGGACAAGATATTTGCAAATGACATATCAGATAAAGGGCTAGGATCCAAAATCTGTAAAGAACTTGGCAAACTCAACACCCAAAGAACAAATAATCCAGTCAAGAAATGGGCAGAGGACATGAACAGACATTTCTGCAAAGACGACATCCAAATGGCCGACAGACACATGAAAAAGTGCTCAACATCACTCGGCATCAGGGAAATCCAAATCAAAACCTCTATGAGATACCACCTCACACCAGTCAGAATGCCTAAAATTAACAAGTCAAGAAAACGACAGATGTTGGCGAGGATGCGGAGAAAGGGGAACCCTCCTACACTGTTGGTGGGAATGCAAGTTGGTGCAGCCACTCTGGAAAACAGTATGGAGGTTCCACAAGAAGTTAAAAATAGAGCTACCCTATGACCCAGCAATTGCACTACTAGGTATTTACTTCAAAGATACAAATGTACTGATCCGAAGGGGCACCTCTACCCCAATGTTTACAGCAGCAAAGTCCACAACGGACAAAGTATGGAAAGAGCCCAGATGTCCAACAATAGATGGATGGATAAAGAAGATGTGGTGTATGTATACATATATATATACATACACAATGGAATACTCCTCAGCCATCAAAAAAAAAAAGAAATCTTGCATTTGCAATGACGTGGATGGGGAACTAGAGTGTATTGTGCTAACCAAAATAAGTCATTCAGAGAAAGACAATTATATGATCTCACTCATATGTGGAATTTAAGAAACAAAACAGGATCATAGGGGAAGAAAGGAAAAAATAAAACAAGACCAAATAAGGGAGGGAAACAAACCATGAGACTCTTTATCACAGGAAACAAACTGAGGGTTGCTTGGGGGTGGGAGGGGATGGGGTAACTGGGTGATGGACATTAAGGAGGACACATGATGTAATGAGCACTGGGTATTATATACGACTAATGAATCACTGAACTCTACCTCTGAAACTAGTAATACATCTTATGTTAATTCAATTTAAATTTAAAAAAAAAGAATGGGGGCTCCTGGGTGTCTTAGTTGGTTAAGCAAGTGCCTTTGGCTCAGGTCATGATCCCAGGGTTCTGGGATCAAGCCCACATTGGGCTCCCTGCTGAACAGGGAGCCTGCTTCTCCCTCTCCCTCTGCCTGCCGCTCCCCCACTGCTTGTGCTCTTTCTCTGTCAAATAAATAAATAAAATCTTAAAAAAAAAAAAAGAATGCATTGGTGAGAATTCAGGTTACCAATTACTTCTGAAAAAACAATTTTTCTGAAAAGGCCCTACCTCCCAAAAATACCTATCTACTCAAATAAATTATAAGAGATGGTTCCCATTGTCCTTAAGGATCTAGAAACATTTCCTTACCTCTATATAATACTCAAAAAGCTTCAGAACTAAAGCAGATTCTCATCAACTAAGACAGGCATCCACACTTTCAAGTAAACAGAAAGAAGAAAGCAGACCTGTGGGGATGAAGGGCCTTAGGGCCTAAGTAGTAACTTCCTATTTTCATGACTCGGTGGAAAGGAACAAGGGTTTGACCTAAGGCTCAAAGATAGGCACAAACCTGTTCTTCTTCTGTAAAGGGTACAAGAGCCAACGGAGGCAGGGGCTCCTCCTGTAGGATAGGCAGAAATTCTTTATCCAGTAGGTCTGAAGGTATCTGTATGACCAAATACATGACCATGAAATTAATGCTATCCCTCCAATTACAAAAATTAAAATCCAAGAAAAACCACTCCTTAGTCTATATCTTGGTGATTATTATAAATATGGAGTAAAGCTTATTCAACCACAATTACCTTTAGTAGTACTTACATACTCTGAGAGGGTCAAATATTAAAAACCCCAGGCACCTTCCTCTTCCTCCCATCAGACCACCACTTTCAGATTTGATATACAGCACTAACTCTGGTATTCCAGAGTACAGAGCGGAAGATTAAAAATCCTCACGTTTAACTAAAGGCACAAGGTACTGAAGAGAGTTTCATGAATAATTTTATCTGTCCTTAGCAACCATCATTAAAATTTGAGATCCCCAATCCATTAATCAAAGTAAAAACAAAGTATATTTTAAAAATGCAAAATACCTCTCACTAGTCAGACAGTAAGTGTACTTTACACTGTTTGGGTTTTGATAATTTATAAATGACACAAATATACATTTTAAGATGTTCTCTCAACTAAAAATTGTATATATTTAATACAAAAAGGGAATGAAGAAGAGAAAGCTCCTCTTCTAACTTCTAACTGAAGAGTAAGAGGTGCAACAAAGAGTCTTCCATTCTCAGCCATCAAATTGGGATAGAAATAGACATGAAGGAGGCATTAAGAGGAAATTAAAGTATTAAGTGCTGAATATTCTCCTGTTTCCATAAAGCTTTCTACTCCTGTAACAAAATCTTAGGTCTTCTCTAAAAAAATACAGAGCTCCTTACACTTACAAGATGCTCTGTCAATGACTGCCGGTTTCAAAGCAGGAAAAAAGAGAAAAACCATGGGTACTTCATCTATCAATACATCATTGTACATACCCTGAAATCACATTCATAATTCTGAACTGTTTACTTTTTCTTACCTTGTTATCTTTAAGGAAAAGTGCTAACATTTCTTCTCGACCATAACGATAGTCTGCTAATTTATACTTCGGCAAAGCTGGAGAAAGAGGAGGGGACGTGACACTCCCACCACTGGACAGAGCTCGGAGCCTAGAATAGGAGAGACATAAAATACAAAATTGAAGTGTCAAATATTCTGGCACTAAGAACTTTTATTTTTATACACTATGAAAGTGTTCATTTTAGTTCTTTAAAAGAACAGAAAGAAATCCCATTTTCTCAAGGTATCCAAGATTTTAGCTTTAACATAACCTGTTCTCACAGCACATTAAGAGAGCAGTTCACTGAGAAATAACTAGACAACCATGTGGCAACTCCTTACTTAAAAGGTTATCATGGCATGTCCCTGAGAAGTCTGGGGGTGAAGAGGTGACACTTTTTCAAAATCATAAAAGGAACATGATTAAAACAAAGGTGAAATATCACCTTATACCTATTAGATTAATAAGAATTAATAAATCTGACAATACCAATTAATAAATCTGGAATACCAGTTGTTAGTAAGATGTAAAACAATGGAAACTTTCAAGTAGTATCTGTGGGATTACAATGGAACCACCACTTCAAAGAATGACCTGCTAACGTTTAATAAAACATCAATATTTGTTAAATAAGAAAGTATGCTTATATAAAAGAAAAAGCGAAACATAGAAGCTTATAAAAAAAGATATACATGTAAACCTGCAAATAAATTTATACTGTTTAAGAACACATATAAAATGTAGCAAAAGTATAAAAACAAACATGAATTGACAAACACAAAATTCAAGATAAGGTTATATCTGCAAAGGGAAGGAGAGTATAAAGGCTGTTTTAATTATACCTGCAATGACTTATTTTCTCAACCATGCTGTATAGAAATGTTTGTTACAATTTTATACTTTTATGCCTATAGTATTTTTTTTTTTAAGATTTTATTTATTTGAGAGAGAGAGAGAATGAGAGATAGAAAGCATGAGAGGGAAGAGGGTCAGAGGGAGAAGCCGACTCCCTGCTGAGCAGGAAGCCCGATGTGGGACTCGATCCCGGGACTCCAGGATCATGACCTGAGCCGAAGGCAGTCGCTTAACCAACTGAGCCACCCAGGTGCCCTATGCCTATAGTATTTCATGGTTCATGTTTACTGAAAGTAATTAATGATCAGTATACTGAAATTGAAAATGCAGTGAAGAGTTAAAATACAAGAAAAAAATTTTAAGCTGTATTTACTTCTAGGAAAAAATAAAAATATACTCCAAGAGAAATGGAACTGGGGAAAGAGGAGCATTTATAAGATTCTTTTATTTAGAGAAAAAAAAAAGTTGGAGGAACCTCAGCAAAAAATTGCAAAAATAAGATCCCACTGAAACACTGTGTCAAACAGCAAGTAGCAAAACTACTATCAGCAGTAGCTCATTATCTGAGGACTGCCTGAAGTTCTATAAAGTAATTAAGTATCAAGGGTAAAGGGAACCAAGGTATTTTACTTCAGGAGCTTAGCCTAAAGGAAAATTCAACCGAAGCATTAAAATATATTCCCCAAATTGCTAAGCTTTATTCACATAAGCAAAAAAGGGAACAATCTACACATTTAAAAAAATATGAAGGAAAGCAGAACATTTCTTGCATGTTATTCAAGTTATATATGCATAAATATAAAAATGTGTTTACATGTACAATGTAATACCAAAAATAAAGGAGGGGGACGTATTAATAAACTCAAGACTGTTACGGTATTTTTTCAATGTTTCTATCTTCTCTTTCTACTTAAACATTTATGGACAATTTTGAACATATATAAGAGCACCAAGAATTACGTAACAAACTCCCACATACCATACTCACCCAGCCCCCAAATCAATAACCCATGGCCAATCCTGCTCCTTCTACCACTCCATCTAACCCTCTTCTGATACTATTTTGAAGGAAATCATATGCTTTCAAAGTTTTGAAGTAAATTGTTTTCACGATTTTTGCGGGAAATTTTTGAAGGGAAGTTTTTCATCAGTAAATACTTCAGAATGTTCTCTCCAAAAGAATTTTTTCTAGTCTGGACTTTGCTGATTTTCTCTCTGTGATATAGCTTAACACGTTTCTCTGTTCTCTGCATTTCATGTACATTGGTGACAGGATGTAAAGACCTGATCAGCTTTGAAAAGACTTCTTCCATGTAGTGGTGTGTTATGCCATCATAGGAAGCACATACTGCCTGGTTGGTTTTTTGAGTCTAGCAGTCCCTGACGAGCAATGAGACCAATGCAACCAATGCGTAGGTCCCTAAGTTCATTCACTAAGGTTACAAAGTGACTTTATTCTATCATTCCTTCTTTATTTATTAGCTGGAGTATTTCTACAAGGAGAAACTTCTCTCTTACACTATTTGGTATCGTTACCCAATAGTATAGTTCATATATGAAAGAAAAAAAAGGTCTTGATTGTTTTAGTTTTCAAATTAGGGACTTAATTCAGTAGCATCTTCCAATGGTAACAAATTTTTTTTTTAAGATTTTATTTATTTATTTGACAGAGAGAGACAAAGTGAGAGAGGGAACGCAAGCAATGGGAGTGGGAGAGGGAGAAGCAGGCCTCCCGCTGAGCAGGGAGCCCGATGCGGGGCTCGATCCCAGGACCCTGGGATCATGACCCGAGCCGAAGGCAGATGCTTAATGACTGAGAACAAATTATTTTTAATTAAGGTATTTCACCATGATTATTCTTAACAATATTCAAATTCTCACCTTTTAAGTAGGCTGCACACCTAATGAGGGGCTTGAATTCACAACCCTGAGATCAAGAGTCACATGTTCCACTGACTGAGCCAGCCAGGTACCCCTCAAATTGTCTCTTTGACCAGTGGGAGACTCTTCAGGTTGGCTCCTAAATCTTTCTGACACAACCCTAGCAGTCTTTAACAGCTTTTTTTCTATCTGGTATGTCAATATGTTCCAGGCATAGCTTGTATTATTTCTTGCCTCAGACCTACAATCAACCATTTCTCCAGGGAGCCTGATTGTTTAATGCACATTAAAAGCGCAATCTGGGTGCTAGGAGTGCTTATTGCTATTAGGCTGGTCTTTTGTTTTCTTTCCAATTATTCTTAGACTTAGAGGTCATTTAGTCCAACTCCTGTAAGACAGGTTGGACCAACCAGGTAAGAAAACAACATACACATGAAAAAGTGATCCAACCACTGCTGAAGGACCTTCCAGGTAACTACTTTCCATCAAATTCATGTAAAGTTGGGCTTTTTCCTGAAAAAGTAGAATTAATACCCACTGAGAACTGAGGCTGGGAATTTTACACATGAATTACCTCATTTCATTTAATTTCAGCTTCACAACAACCCTAATAACAGACGGGGGTTAAACAACTTGCCCACACTCACAGCCAGCAAAACAAAGATTCAAACCTAGGTTTTCATGACTAAAAAGATCAAAACCCAAAATTTTATTTAAAATCGGCAAGGTTTGAGATGCCTGAGCCTTTGGCTCAGGTCATGTTCCCGGGGTCCTGGGATCGAGTCCCACATCAGGCTCCTTCCTCGGAGGGGGGGGGGGGAAGACTGCTTCTCCCTCTCCCACTCCCGCTGCTTGTGTTCCTGCTCTCGCTATCTCTGTCTCTGTCAAATAAATAAATAAAATCTTTAAAAAATAAAATAAATATTTTAAAAAAAGAAACTATATTAAAGTATTTTTCTTATACTAAACCAATATGCTTGCCAATAGTTCCTACCACTAGAGGGCACATCTAGATTGCTCTTTGAAGTGAAAATCACTCCAGTGCTGGCAAATAGTCAAGATGTCTCTTTAGAGACTTTCCTTCTCCTGGCTCAATATTACTAATTTCTTTATCTGCGCCTCACAAGGTTTCAAATCCACTCACCACTCTGGTTCCCTTCCAATGGACCCTACTCCCACCACCCAAGGATTGAATGTCCAATGTTGAGGACTGAGTATTTCTTATAAGCACCAGACCTATTAATAACATAACTAGAGTGCATTCTCAAGAGATTCCTCCAGCTACTGTGAAGAGAACAGACGAACCAAGGCAAACTAAGATAGTAGCCTGAGTACGGAGAATTGTGCATTTCTCAATAATTGGCAAATCCTGTTCCAAGTCCCTCTCCACCTACAGATATTCGTAAAAGCTAAAAACATACCTGGGTAATACCCCTCCCTAAAAACCGACTAGTGATCTTTAACCTCTCTTGGATCTTGCTCCATACAACCCTCTCTTCTAAAAATTTAATCCCTCCCTATCTGCTTTCCCCTCAGTCTCTAAATATATCTAACAGTGATTTAAAACCCCTTTAATGCAGCATCCTCATCTTTCCTCTTCATTTCAGCAACATCTCCACATCCATACTTCCGGGCACTTCAAAACCCAGCGCAAAAAAGAAACAAAAAAACACACCAGCATAATCTGGCTTCTCCCCTACAACTCCACTGCTCCAGTAAAGTTCATCAATAACCTCACACAAATCCAAGGGACAATTTCCTATCTTTGTCACCTTCTTCTTTCTGGTCATACTGAGATCTGTTTAACACAAGAGGCCCAGTTCTAATATGTGTAGTAGTAACTGACGGGTAGGATTAGAGGACCTTCTAAAACCCCATGATACCCCAAAATCTTCACTTATTGTCCCAAATCCAAACTTCAGCTTATGAAAGCAATTTGGAGTGTCAATGTAGATGTGTGAAGCTGTGGGAGTCAAAAACCATTTCTGGGTAAGCTCCTGATTCTCAACTCCAGCTCTAACCTCTTCCCTAGAGTTTAAGCCTTCTATATACAATCACTTAGAGCCTCTCAGCTTTAGCTTTAATATGCCCCAAAGCCTATTCATCATTTTATTCATCCCAACCCCCTTCATCACCTTAAGGCAGGTAAGGACACTACCATCTACTCAACTACTGGATTAAGAATCTAGGAATCACCCTTTTACTCCTCACCTTCTACCATCTCCCATACCCAATTACCACATCCTACCAGTTTTAGATCCTAAATCTCTCAAGCCATCCTGTGGATCAACTAACCCATTATTATCCACACTTTTCTTTCCTACCTGGACTGCTACAACAGCATCCTAAGTGATACAACTAGTCATCGTTCAT